GTCAAAGAAACCGCCAGCTGGCCCGCACTCGAAAGCTCCTCGGCGTCTCTTGCGTCAGGCTGGATCACGGAGTACGTCTCCCCGCATTTGTCACAGTGCTCAAACTGCAAAATTTTTGTAAAGTTTCCGTATTCAAGATTTCTATGCGACGTGAGACCGTTCGAATAAAGAGAGGCTTTAGTCTGAAGTTGCCGGATATCGCCTTGGGATCTGGGTCTAGAGTTACATTGCAATCGTCAATCTGGGAATTTTAACCTTCACACGTGTGGCTCCATCGTCATGCCGTTTGTTGCTTGCAGACTAAATAGGAAAACGGAATAGATGCAGAAGAGTCCTGCATGATCAAGCTGACTAGATTTTGAAATGCACATTGACATTTTCAGTCGTAATAGCTGCTTACATCGCCCTGGATTTGCCCGAACCATTCCGGTTCCCGCAGCCAATGAAATTCGGCTTGTCGTCAACCCTGCATAAGCAGAATGGTTGCTCTGGCTGTGGTAGTCTTTAGCTTCCTTATGACTTGTTGGGCTGAATCGTGAATTCAGCGAACTTCAGCCTAGCAATCTTGCCAATCCGATCACATACTTGTGGTTGCGAGTAGGCCGAAGACTGCTCAACAACAGCGTCGTGCGCTGAACGCACTCACGATATCTCGAAATCAAAATCTGGGTTGTCTAAGTGTACCACGCTTTTGTTTTGAGGCGGCCTTTTCTACTATGCTAGAGCAAGTGTATTTCTTGTCCATCGAGTTAGGCCGATTAAGAATAATAGTTAGAGTCAAATGAAACCAATTAATAATATCGACGGACATTAAGAACGGACAACGAGTATGGCGACGACAATGTCACTGACAGCGACGAAAACCCTGACGGTGCCGATAATACTGGCTTTATAGAGTACATATTAACCAACAGGAAAGGTAATTTCTCTAGCATAAGAAAAGTAGGTAGTCTCTTCATTATTTGGTAGAATGTGAAGAGCTGCTAATAGAAGGAACTGACCACCAGATATACAGGCGACTTTCAGACCCTCCACAGCTTACAATAGTGGTAAGATCTTCTACAAAATCAAATGCTTCGCTAAATCACTAAAACAACGAGTGCAAAGGCGTTTAAAAGTATCCAGTGGTATATTGAAGATCTCAGTCCTGTTCGCCTCAAATCTAATCTATCATTCTTTCTTCAAAAGCATCTTATATGCCCACTTGGAAAGGTCTATCGCCTTCGCATCTACAAAAGTAGTAGTCAGGTCGGAAACATATATCGCCGCAGGTGCCCATAGGATGAATGCCAAGAGGATGCCAAAAATGTAGTATATCTCAGTGTCTCCGCCACCGACAAGACCTAAAGTCCACCGAGCTAGCACCAAGCCTAACGAGTATAGGAGTGGGCCATGGATCATATACAGCGAGAAAGAGATCTTGCCCATGTATTGGGAAAATCGGTTCGTGAAAAGAATCTGCAAGAACGGGTTTTGGTCGACAACGAATACTGTTAGCACTGCACCGATCGGTATCACAAGGGCCTCTTTGAATCTTGCTGGGACCAAGGATGCTAGGCTCACGTAGCCAGGTGACCTCGCTGCATCCTCCATGTCCTCTGGCATACTGAGCAGCCACAATGAGATCAAAAATGATACGAGCCCGACGCCCCGTCCAAGTATGCGATAAGACAGATGGCCTCGCTCCGCTGTCCGATGTGTGGCCGCATCCGAGGGCAAAGTGTCTTGGTGTTCGGGCTCAGACTGCCTGTTTCGCCACCTCCATTGCCTGTCCTCGAGTTCCAAGTGCAGGTCGCACAAGAACATGCCGCTGAGAAACAAGAACATGCCCCAATAGACAAAGACCCATTGGAGATATATCGCTAAGCTTAGTGCGAAGAGCATCCTGACTTTGTTATGCACTCTAGTGAATGCTGTCAGGAACATGAACACCACCATGGAGCTCATAAACTCGATAGGGATTGTCCAGAGGTGGGGGTCAAGTAGAGGCTCTGGGTCTTCGGAATCAGCTCGAACAACAGGCTGACCGATGGGGTCGGTGGTGAGGACCTCGGCATGGATGTAGTACTGCAGCTGGCCCCAGAGAGAATCAAAGTGTGGCAGAGGCCTCGTCGGATAAGCCACGCCGGGTAACCCCTTGTCGGGGAACATGTTGAAATAGCCCATCATGAGGGTGACAAACCCGACCACGGCGGGTGGAAGGAAAAGCCGGGTATGTCGGCGGAAGACGGACGACGCGATGGCCGAGCCTGCTTTCTCGAACTCTCCTTTACGAACCAACGTTAGAAAGTGGTGCGATATTGTGTAGCCGGACACGACGAAGAAGACGCTGACTGGAGCGAGCCCCGAGACAACGAGCCGTAGGATAGGCAGCTGGTAGAGCCACCATCGCCGAGGTGGATCCGGCGTCCATGCTAACTGGACGTCAAAGGAGAACCAGATCAGACCGCAGTGAACAAATACAACACATAGTGCTGCGATACCTCGCAAACCATCTTTAACAATGCGTTAGCCTGCCAATCAAAGATATTGAGCATGGTATTTGTTACCTAGCCAAGCTGTAGAGCGAAGCGGTTTTGTCTTCGTTTCTGTTGATCTTAGGAAACTTGGGACCAGGCAGAAGAGATGTCTCAAAAGCCTCCTCCACGTTTCCTGCCGACGTGTGATGATGGGAAGTAGCGACTCGTCTGCCTCTAATATTGAGTCATCCTCTACCTCATCGACCGAGGGCTTGGATTCTGTGCTCCAGTCATCGTCTCTTATCGGAGTGTACGTGTGCCGGCCGTCCGTATCGTCAGGGTTGTAGCGTTGTCGAATAAAGGAGGGCAACATAGTCATGCCAAATCCGGTTCAATTTGGGCGATAGCTGCCGTGTGGCCAACGAGGGGAGGCGGAGATTTAAGCTTATCACACTCGGCCTGTGTGATCGGCAGCGTCGATCAGCGAGGAAATCAGACGTCTGACGGGCGCGCAAATATCGTCTGGGAGAGGTCACATTAGGAATAAGTGTATAGTAAGAACTAGACGCATGTCACTACTTAAGAGACAGACACTATCGAGCTGCAGGGCCTACAATGGGCTTCCAGAAAGAGAATGAATATCCACCATGTTTCACTCGCCCGGAGAGAAACCTGCAAATTCGAACGAAGCTTTCCTCGTTCGGTAGAAGACACATGTCGAAGTGCCCGTACAGTGTTTTTCGAATAGTGTTTTCCGGAAAGTGCCCGCGAATCGGGTGATTTTGTCACTGTGGGAGGCCGCGCCGTGGCTACAAATTCGAACTTTCCAATTCCATAAGCGGTAATTCGAAGGAGTGTTTCACCCGATAAAGACGGAGGGCTCGGGGTAGTCCATCGCCAATTCGCGGGAGATAAACCTCAATGCTGCGATGGTGTGACAAACATGGACAGGTTAGCACGGACGCCAGTGCTGCGGACGAAAAAAAAACTGAAACGTATGACGGAGGTCGATGCGAGACCGAGCCTCCATCTCATCAACATCCATTTCCGAAGAGAATATCAGAGGGCATGCGTCGACGACTTCACGGCCCAGGCCATCACCCGATCGTGAGAAGCGACACGTCAAGACACTCAAGAAATTCGACCGGGAAAGGCGAAGTGGAGCGACATTCAAAAGTTCAAAACCGACATTTCGGCCATTTACACTTCACGCGCGACTCGAAGTGGCCGGCGGATTCATCCAGCTTCATCATCGAAGATGATACTGCTCGACCAAAGGCCCAGGCTAGAGTATCAGGGGTGACGATGGACCTAAAAGGCCATTTTGACGAGCACATTGCAGAGGCCACGGCAAGGGGCCTTGAGACAGTTCTGGGGCTCAGGGGGCTCAAAGGCCGGACTCCGGCGGGGTGTTGACACAGCCGGGCACCGTGACACTGCCGGGCCCCGTTTCGCCTGCTGAGTCAGCTGGGATTTTGCTCTTGTAGATGATCCGGTACTCGCCGGTGTATCGATGGGAGAGCGAACGAGATCCCGAGTTCTCCGATGAATATTACTGCAAGTTCTGGATATCCGGCATAGCAATATTATGAAATGCACGTCGGCAGTTCGTCTTCTGCCTCATTCCACGAGTTTATTGGTGTTAGACCCTGCCCCCTGGACACACAGTTGTGTGGGCGACCATTCGGAAATGTGGCCGACGTCATGCCTCCAAAATCATGACCTGTTCCAAGTATATCTGACTACTTATGAAATATCATCGACTCTCAATATATCATCACCATATGGGTATCGCTATTGCCACTGAGAGTAAGAATGGGTGTAATAGAGAGGGTAAGATAGTGTCATCAATAGTGCCTAGGTTGACAGGTCTGCCACAGGCTTTTCAACAAGTCTGGCATTCAAGTTTTTCATGAAAGATCGGAAGCCCTCAGTAGAAGTTGCAGTGATTGAGAATGCAGTTGTGGCAGTGGTGAAAGGTTTGAGCTCAGCCCCTTACCGCTGCGGTTTGACACGCGTACCAAAATCACCATTACGAGTCACATTCTGACAAGAGATTCCTTGTTGAGGATCATGGATCTGATCTGAGACAATTAGCACTCGATACTGAGGAGATGATCACAGTCCACGATGTCGAATAACTCGCATGTCCAGGTAAGTAGGTATGGTGTCAGGGTCCATCATGGGTTAGAGTCCTACAGCTTCTCTTCGGTGCTCTTTCTTAATTTCGCTATGCCATTCAAGCTTCTTTCCGTTTCAACACACCGCTGCCCGTGAAGCACACCAATGTTTTCAAGTCATATGGCATCCTAAGGCAAACACCCCAACAGTATTCTCATGGGAAGAAAACACAAATCAAGACGTTGGAGAGGGTTCAGATTGAACTTCTAGTGCAATTGAACCAAAACCCACCTGCGCATAAAGTCAAATAATTCTTCCAACTTGCTACATGCCCCACGCTAAACTACCATACCTTATGTATGTGCTCTGCGTCTTGCTCAATTCGGAACCCGTCAACTATCTATATTAAAACCTACTCGTTCAGCCTCCGGAAGGCCCGCCTCCATCACCTATTCCATTTCCATCGTTCTGCTGGTCCTGCTGTAACTGCTGTAACTGCTGATCATACTGCATAGCAGCTTGCGCCTGTCGGCTTACGAAGTCTTGATTCTCTTGCCATATACTTCGCACATACCCTTTCAGTCGTTCAATGTGCTCATCAACAATGCGTAGCGATAGTGGATCCGGAATTTGGCCGCTCTCTTTCAGTTTGGTTAACCTTTCCGCACATAGGGTTGCAACCCCTCCCGGAGCGCCTATCGTCTCGGGTCCCACGTATTCATAATCCTTTGAAGACATATACTGGAACCATCCCCAGTCTTGTGACCGTTTTGTCACAACACCAGCCGCCAACCGGCGGCAAAAGTGTTGGCAGTTATTTTTCAGGTGGTTATAAGTGCCAAAACTCTTTTCCACATTCAGACATACTTCGTCAACTTGTGCCTTTGACTTGTTCGTCCAACCAATGTGAACTATGTACAGCAGTCCGACTTCAGGCTTGGGATGTTGGAATTCGGGTTTGCGGCTAGCTTCAATAGCTGCTGCGCGTGCTTTCATCGCCATAGAATAAAGTCGATCTTTGCTTATGACCTTCTTGTAATAGCGCCCAAAGCCTGAAGAGTTCCGAAAGTCGTCGATTGGCTCTTGATCAACCTCTACTTGCGCACCGTTCCCGAGACCGGTCTCGAGATCAGGATCTTCTGCAGTCGCAGAGGACGGGATACTTCGCATTCTTCGAAGCTCATACTTATGCTGGTGCATTAGCAGAGCCCAATGTTTCCAGGAGCCCTTCTTCGCAAAAAGATAGCCATACAGGCTCGCCATATGAAGTGTCGTTCTCAAGCTCCAATCGTTCTCCTGCTTGTTGTTGAAGATGCGCGTCCCAACCAACCCTAAACGTAGATTCAACATCTGCTGCTGTTGCGTTTGGTGGTAGGTCCAACTTGGTGAGATCGATTTGATTAGCCACAATACGAGCGTGGGGTGTTATTGACGTCTTCCTGCAGCTACAAAAAAGGCTCAATGCGACGGTGATGCACCCGATGACGCCAGCGATTGTGCCAAGGGTAGTGGCCGTACCACTCGCCATATCGAAATTCCAAAGAATTGAGGTACAGGAAGCTTCAAAGACGCGTAGATTTATGATGGCGCTATGCCTAATAAACACAATTAGAAGCGCTCGTGATCGTGAGGGACGAGACCCATAAATACTTTATTGAAGTGGCTTTGAACCTCAAGTGGAAAAGCACTGAAGACCTGAGAATGTGGCGCATTCCATCATCGCAGGTAAAAAAGGCGGTTCTGACGATTCATAGGACTCGCTGACCACCCTTCTTTACAGATGGAACAGGGTTGGATTAGGCATCCGCAGCTGCAAGCCTATCAAAGTGAGAACCTCCAAATGTCATTTTCTCAATAGAAACCAATCGATCCTCTCTTCAGAGAGATTCTGGTGGGCTTTTCGGTGTAACAAAAGTTACGTTGTTGCTACCTGCAATCCTGATGGTGCTGGGTGACCAGTTACAGCACTTGATGTGTGCAAGGATTGCAAGAAATACTTGTTCCAATTTCAGCTTCCATGCAGAACAATCCCTCAGACAGCCTTGCCATGACTCAGGCAGCATGATGCAATTGAACACATCTCAAGCCAGCCATAATGGCTGCTTAGATACATGCTTCTCTCCATAACTGAACATCTCGGCAGTGTCATCCGTCTTGACTTGCGAGAAGCCCCCCGGCAGTTGCCATGGCTGACGAAGCCATGGCATGATCTCAGAGCTGAGGTGCCCATCCCATGCTGTAGTCAGACAATGTGACATACGCATGCCATTTGCGATCTACGGGTGACAGTTGTGACATGCTGCCACTGAGGCTAGTCTTGCGATCTAAGTCCTTCCACGTATCTGGGGCCCCCAATGTTGAAAGGAGACGGTGCAGAGGGCTGGTTGGGCCGTTCCGCTTCGGTACGCAAACAGCCTGCCAGAACATGGAATAAATACAGTTGTTGAAAGGTGTCATTTCTCATCTGAAGATGTCATCGCATGGTTTATTTCCTGTTTCCTTCTCCCGCAATCCTCCTCCGGAACCCAGTGGATGGAACTGCCATAGGAAGTGCGGTCCCATGAGGCATTCTTCGGGCACGTAGCCAGTTTTGAACTATTACCACCATAAGTACCAACATGAACATGATGACAACAACAAGAGGGCCCAATATCGAAAATACCGTGAACGCATATGAGGCACGCTGGAACGTGTCGTCATTCTTAAGTGCGTCGGTAGATAGCCCAACCTGCATAGCTGTGAGGACAACAACTAGGTAGACAGTGGCAGTAGTGATCCAGGCCATGTTGTCAAGAGCGAATTCGGTATATGTATGCCATGGATTGTGATACATCTGGCAACTAGAAAGGTCGCTGAAGATGTTTATCCAATTCAGCCTGTTCAGTCTCAGTTCGCCATGCCGAAATCGACGGTGTATCTGGTCGGAAACCTTGGGTTCCAACAGCTCCGTGGCTAATTTGCGCCATGTGGTCCATGATGGCTGATCCCCATCTTTTGGTAAAAGGCCTTCTTTAACCGCCAGTGCGAAATCAGGCGGACTATTCACGAGGCATGCGTAGGTATATAGAAGCCCCAAAGCACACTCTCGTACCCCAGACTGAGGCGAAGCCGGTGATTGATAATGGTGACCAGGTAGGTGCTGTGCCCAGAACTCGGGCTCGAGGAGATAGCGGGGCAACGGTTTCAGGAATATCTTCATGTCCCCCCAAACAAGATGCATATCAAGGGAATCGTTGAGTACAATCGTGCGACCCAGCACAACTTGGGCGTTCAGTGATCTGGCTGGTCTGATAGCGCCGACACGCCACAGTTTACCATATACAGCGTCAAGACGGTCCAGCGAGAAGTCCACCTTCAGAAATTCCGATAGAGTAGCATGGTTCACTGGCTTGATTTCGTTACCCGGGGGTCCAGTGCGAAAGGCAACCGGGAGGTGTTCACAGAAGGTAGGCTGGTCAGCTACTGCGGCGCCGCTGGACGCGGTCGGTGTCGATGACAATGGGTACATATCTGCCCCCCCGATATTCGAGGTGAACAGGCGTGTGGTGAAGGGAACACCCGACATCTAATGGGGGAATGAACGTGCGTTAGCTTATATTGTGACAGCAATCGGGTGAGAAAGGGGCGTTGGTGTACCGTCGCGATCAACTTCGGTTTTGTGTTATGTTACAATTCGAAGTGAATGGCACTTTTACATCCAATACTAGACGTGCTTTAGAAAGACAGCAGTCCAGCTTAAATGAGCATCGAAGGATGTTTGCCGCCCACCCAAATACATATGTCATTGAGTGAGAGCTGACTGCGGCGCAGCCACATCATCACATCCAGATGACGTAGCTCTGGAGGCAGCAAGGCTCGATCTCGGTAGAAGTAACGACCACACTCGAGTATGATTGACTTCCTAGGATGGAGTGGACGGGGCGAGTTCAGTACCGCTGTTAGTTCTCTGGCCGTGAAATTGAATCTAGGTGGCATCGTGTACAAGACGAGCGCGAAATATGTCCTACAGCGACTAACTATATGGATCAATCACTCTGAATTGGCTACTTTCAGTATTAAGACGTGATTTTGATGGCAAATTGCGACTTGCGGGTCGATTGTACCGTCTGTCCATGCCTAAGGGGCAGGTTCGGGTCATTGGACTCCCGCAGGCTTAGGTATTGGTAAGGCTTTGAGAGAGCCGTCTTACTGATGGAAGGGACAGAAATGTAGCTTGACATTACATTGTCCCTTATCCTACTCTATGAATCGAGTTGAATTCCGAATTTTGGAGGAATATCGCTATGAATGCTCTCGACCAGCAATCGTTTCCATATGAAATTGCGGCCGTCGACCATTTCTTACAAGTGTTTGCCACCTTAACACTTTTACCATCCACCCCCATCTCCATTTTCAATTTATCTTTTCAGGCCCGCGTCTTTTTGCAACTGTTCAAATGCCCAGCATGTTCACTGGTAGTGCAAATGGTGTTAAGCAGGACACAGCGACTACGAGACACCTAACTGTTGACCACTATTCCTGATTAGAGGATTGGGTATATTAAGTTCAGAGAATGGGCGACGAGAACAAGCAACCGTTGCATTTCAATACGGGGTTTCCATCGTTCAAGATTTGACGCGCAGTAAGAGGTCCATGAACCGAAATAAGGATCATATTGCCCACTCTCCCGTCTGTGATGAAGTGGTCTTTCTGAAGAGTTCACGGCCTATACTCGCACTCGGAAAGCCTGATCCATGAGCTGATGACGGACCTCTAGGGTCTCTGGGGCTAAGCAGCAATGGACCCCGAGAATCTTCGTAAAAGCCGTTCGATGGAACCAGCATCAGCGACAGTTTTGTGCCCTTGGTGGGCTAATCTTAATCATGTTTCCCGGACTTTTCTACTCACCTGGAATTGCTCAACTTAACGTAGAGTGCCTTGTCACCAATAATATTTTCTACATCACACAGACATTCGATTTCGAGCAACACTAAGGACAGACGTAGAGTACAGAGCATGGGGTGACAATATGGTCTAGACAACAAAATAGGTCTTCCTAATTCACTATGATACCGACTGGATGGAGCACCTATTCCTCCAGTCGGAAACCTATGATCAATGAAATCTATTCTGAGCATAACAAAGCTACGTCTTTGAGAGGGTAAAAACGTCTCGGGTGGTTAACGTAAACTTGTTACGAACGGCTGGATTAAGATTCACCGTTTCTCAGCAAGCAAAATCGGAAAGAAAGCAACCTAGAAGGTACAATATTCAACATAAGTCATCGTCCAAGGTCGTGCTGTGCATTGACAGGAACAACCCCCAACCACCCCGAATCCTGGGGCGTCCGGAGGTCCGACCATTCCTGCAGCTCGCCGTACCTTAATCTGTGTTCACTCTCACCAGGCAAGTCTCTTTAAAAATCTACGCTGGGAATCAGCCATCATCATCATTCGAACAAAGAGTCCTCCAGGCTGTGAAAACAAATCCTCAATCATGCGTGTATCCATCGTAAGCCTTCTTGGCCTTCTAGGCGTCTCATCCCATGTAGCCGCCGCGTACACACCCCTCAACATCACAGCCCTTTCAACGCGCAACGGCTACTCCGTCATCGAATGCTGGCAAATCGACTCCATCCCAGTCGAGGCGCGCGCAGCCTTGAACTACGCATTCGGCGGCGACCTGACGCGCGCAGAGTGGTCTATCATCCAACCCAGGACGACGGTAGGTGAAGCTTGGGCGCCGGCTGTGCAGTGAGTAATTTTGCCCAATTTTCATGCTACCTGGAGGGGACTACCTGGTCGCTGGACATTTCGTCTGGTGGGATTGAAACTTGACGGACATGGGGGATCGCTTCATTTGGGATCCTCATTTTCATGTCAAATTTTCGCTGTTGACGTCACTGTGTGGGTGAACTGAGAGGCAGACGACTGACTGCGCGTAGGTTGACCGTCATCGTCAACGGCCTCATCCGCATCACCTCGCCTGCGCCAAAGAACGCCTCTCAAGCAATGCCGCTCCCAGGATCTGAAGACACAGCGCAGCCGCCGGAGACGACGGTCGCCTACATCCAGCCCGGGACGGTGTCCTCGTCGCTGGTGATCGCGGCGGACGTGAAGAACATGAGCGTGCACGCGGGGCACTTCACCGAGTTCCCGGGCGACGAGCCGACGGTGCTGGTGCAGATACCCTGGGCCGGCAACGCGGCGCCGGAGCACACCGTGCTGGGTGAGGGGCCGTGTCACAGGGGGTCGTGGACGTTCTGAACGATGTCATCACGGAGCATTACGGGCTGATGAGGGGAAGGGATCTCATGACAATGGCTAATGGTTCAGCTTTAGCCACGATGGATGGGTGGTTCCCGATACCTC